AGTGAGAGGATAGTCTATTAGCATGGGATGAATAGAGTAGCCATTTTATAAAGCTCATAATACAGACAAATTGCCATATTACAATTAATTACGACAAACAATAACAAAAGCATCACAGATAAAGTAGAACAGTAGAAGGAAGGTATCAATCAGATTAATAGAACAAGAAACAACAATGCTGATTACCTCTTTACACTGCCATTAGATAGGCAATGTTATTTCTTCTAACACAGACCCTATGGATTATGTGAGAATCCATATTGAAAGTTAGCATTAAAGAGAAAGATATTAGCTGTATAAATGCTAGATCAGATTGGTGTACTGGGGTGCCAAAGTGTGAAATAAAGGTTGGTCAGAGGGCCACTCAGCAACAAAGGTTTATAAAAAGACTAAAAAAAACAGACAGAGTTACTTCTCTGGATAGCATGAAGAGGCGAGGCATGCAGACTATGTAGAGCTCAACCAGCAGGACCAAGTATAAACAGCATGGATATTTTCAGCTGCAGTTTTACAGGAACATGGTGTTTCAGGCTCAATATTCACAATGTTGGAGATTAACTCTGGCAGCAATCAGTGATATCAGCAAGCACACATGCACAACATTTACCTAGCTTATTAAAATGTTCGATCTGTTTTGGTTAATATGAAAAGCACATTGAAGCACAGTGAAAAAGAAGTGCTGCTAAGAAATTCCTGAAATTTGTTTTGTAATAAAGGAGAATTCACAAACCATGGCGGTCTCATGGCGATATAGGTCTCCAGTGATTATTAAATAGGCATTATGGAGTTTTCTAGTTATACGGCCCCCTGTGGCCAAAAGAAAGAACTGCAGCACTCTTCTGCTCCTTCTCAATTTTTTTTATTTTATTTTCTTCACCTTACCCGTAGTTGCTATTTTTGTCTGAGTTGAGCTGGATGCTCCATACTGAGTATCCACAAAATCCATCTTGAATATAACGTTTCAAATGTTTGTTAGGTCGGACCCATTCAACATGGACGCACATGATGTCACACCCGCTGGACAGCGGTGGAAAATAGGAAAATAGGCTACAGGCTAATAGATTGATTGGAACTGAACTGCTGAGGTGTCAGTCTGGACATAAAACAATGTTTTAATCATAAAGAATGTCAACTTTACTTCTGGTTGCAAACATCATATTCTCATCCCCAATGTCTATAAGAGGCAAACTTACAGTGCATTATTTTGAGTTAAGGTTATAAAAGTGGAACTGAACACTGCTGACACTATATAAAGCAATGGTTTTTAAAATAGAGGGTCAGCTGCATGGCGGCCCCATTAGTGCAGACATGCACACAGTCAGTATCTGATGAATTGAAAATAAACTCTTTACAGACAGCGCTAGACAAGGCAATACGATGATCTCCTTCTGAACTCTTAATGTATTTAAAGGTTTGATTTATTTTAAATAATAAAGAAATGTACTGGTTTAAATTCCTTAAATAAGATATCAGCAATATAACTGGATAACTCAAAGGCTCCTACGCATTGCCCATGTTTAAAAGGAAAATAGATGTGGCAATTTGGAAGTAAAAAATACAGACACCCTTGGTGTAGACAACAAAGAAATGTCATCCATCACTTAGTCAAATAACAGTTTTTGGAAGCAATGGAAGACAGGCTAAAAGCGCATCAAATGTACATTGGGCATAACGAGGAATCTTACAATTTAACTAGCTGTTAAGAAGTTGCTAAAGTTATTTTTCTCTGGAAAAGTTTAATTCTTTTGTGCAATCAATAGTAAAACTACTGCTAAACCTAGCTATTTGGGATCTTGCAAAATGGTTCTTCTTGACTTTCACTAAACATTATTAAGAACCATCTTACAGTCTTCCATGAATAATTGTGTTGAATTTCCACAGAATGACAATAAAAGAAGCACTTTTTTCCTTTACAAGAAAATGCATTTATCTTGTTTGCAAAAGTTATGCTTTTCCTCATTTTTAAACCTAAAATAAACTAAAATTGACAAACAAAAAATTAAAAAGATACTTTACTCTACTTTACTATTCAGGGGGTAATAACTGCTCTTTGAATTGTAAAGTTTGCAGATCCATGGACTGGACAGACTGAAAACGTGAAAACATTAGCTCTCAGGTAATTCATGTGAGCGACACAGAACATCTCCTACAAATTCCTTAACATCTACATTTTTAAAAGTTAAGGCAGAAACATGATACCTTAGACTAAACTTAGTATTTTTTGCAAATGCATAAATCACCTAAGGCAATGGATATAGTGCTCTGCTGAATAACTTTTTAGACTGATTTCTTGTGGCAGACACACTGTATAAGTCACTGGAACAAGAGTTTTCACTATAAAATTCTGGCTTTCTGGATATATCTTGTGAACAGATTTATTACAAGATTTATGAGGAAATGGAGTTGTGCTTTTGTAATGTTTGTGGAGAGTATGTTTCTCAAGGACAATATTGCACCTAGGACATTATTCAAAACATTTGCTTTGTTAAACGTCACTGTTTAGAGGCTCAGAGGACATTTTTCAATGTTGAGACTGAAATAAGAATCGTTGGTCTGACAAATTTCATTGTTGAAATTTCTTCTACGATTTTAATCTTTTTTTTATTCAGTATATTTTTACTGCCCTGATTCATAACATGTTATCTCAGGGCACTTTACTAAGGCAATTCAAGGGAGGCATATTATCAGAATGGTTTGTTTTGTATCAAATATCCAGCTCATTGACTTTGTAGAGTCTCTTCTGACTCTCAAAGGAGGCGGTCGCATTTTCCTGCTGCTCCTGCAACTCCCTGTTCTGTACCTGCTTTGCTGTGTCTAGCCTTTTCTGAGCCCTCTCTTGATATTACCCAAATTCAAACAATGGACCTGGTCAGTCGTTTTCTCAATGCAATTGATCAAATTTTCTCAACTGGAAGACAGGGAAAAGGGGGCCCGTCCTGTCCTGCTGGGACATACTTTGTGGGATACACCATGGACTCATGGAAGGCTTGGAGGATGGTGCATTTCACTATGTTGTCAGGAGAGGATGTTGAAGATGTGTGGCTGTTTGTATTTATGATACTGAAGATTTCTTCTCTTTGGATTTGAAGGATACCTGATGTATCTACAATTACAGAGGATGTCAGCTGCGATTTGGGAATTGATCAGGCTGCAGACAGCAGTTGACATGCTCGCAAACGCTGTGAACGAGCAGGACTGTGAGCAGAGCCGTATTCTGGGTGTGATTGGGTGCAAGCTTGCTGCGTTGGTGGAACTCAAAGATGAGGCGGGATAATATCTTGGATGTGCTCCCTTCAAGTCAGAAAATCCTTACAAATTCGGAATACTGGATTCGCCATGTGGAGCCCAGCGACAAAAGACTTCAAGGCTGTTGGAAAATTCTGTGCAGATTGCTCTCAAGACAACGTAATTTGGATTTCGGCTTCCCTCTTATCAAAACTCGCCTGCATGTTATGGCGGAAGGGTCCAGAACAATGGCTTTGGACAGCACCCATGGACAAATTGAACGCACTTACCCATACACACATAACTGATGCTCAAATACCAGATTAACTCAGATGTGGCTCCAGCCTTCAAGGTTTTCCTTCTGCTGAAATGTTTTGTTTTACATGTACTTTTCTTGTGCTAAGTCTTTTTTTTATATATATATCTCAACTTGTACCCTGTCAAGGATAAAGTGTGAAATATATTTTTTTCCTCTCCTTCCCCAATGTGGCTACTATCTTTCCACAGAGATAAAGGCAACGCTTTAAGGGAACAGCTTCATGGCGGGGCCCCTGGCAGCTAAAAGAATGCACCAAACAGCATTGTCTGTGGCACACATTGCTTCAGTCAATTGTTGCCCCCCCCCTTCATGTGAGCAATTCCTCACACGAAATATGCATGTAGCAACAGTAAAGAGCAACAATCCCTTCTCAACAGAAAGAAACCTCCAGCAGAGCCATAGTCAGTGTGAGCAGGCTTCAAGAAGAAAGAAACAGACATAAAAAAAGGAGCATAGAAGCGCTAATCTGTAAAAAACATTCCATGTTAGAAGGGTTAACTGTAAACTAGTTCCATAGGTTGTTGTGTCTAGGAGATGAACGCTGAGCTGTTTTTAATGCAAAACTTTGCAAACAGCTGTGTCTATAAGAGAAACAGGACCGAGCACTAAAATTAGACCCAAGCCAATTATCTATATCTAAAGTTGTGGATTGCAGTGTTGCTCTCAAAGTAATAACAATCATAGCAGCTGTTAGGGATGCTCAAGTTTGATATTTGACTCTAGATAGAGGTATAGCAGATTAAGAAGGTTATTAATTTTGAAGGAAAATCAAATCTCTGCACTTTATAAGCCAGAACAAAATGTTAACATTTTGAGGTTTCTTTCGGGAAGGGGAAAGCGTGCCTGTATGTATGTTAGCATTTTCTCTTAACTCAATTATTTAAAACAAAATAGTGAGTACATCTCTTTTTAGGTCTGGATTCCAAAGCTTGATACACGCAACAACAAATATTCTGCAGTTTACTTATCCTGGGTGTTGAAAAAAACACAGAGTCCATCATCACATGACAGTACAACCTACAGTTTTAACAAGAAATACCATCCAGTGCAAAATACTTCTCATTAGTGGTGAGCTGCTTATAAAGCCAACAACTAATGACACAAACATGTCTGTCAACTAGGATAATAAAAAGTGTAATGGATAGGCAGCCAACTGGACAATAAGAAATAGTGCTCAATACAGTTAATGAGCAGCACATTACATTTTCTTCGGGAGCTACAGACTGCTAGATTGAATTCTTCCCCAAATGGACCTTTCCGGGACTGACAAGAATAACCGCTTTCCTTTTTGTTGCACATCTAAGGGCAAGTTTAATTATTTCAATTAAATCTTCAAAGATAATGACTGCCCAGTTGATTAAACATAAAAGCTTGGGTTCATTGCAGGACACTGTAAAAGAAGATATTAAATATTTATTGGTTTTAATGACATGTTTTGATTGTAAAACGTGTTTACCTGTCACATCTTGGCCCTGTGTACCCGGGCTGACAGCGGTCACAGAGCAGCTCTCCTCCTTCACCAAGGTGGCATGTGGGGCTAAAGCTGTTGAGGTTTCCACGGTGGCGTAATTGTTGTTGAAGTTGTTGTTGAAGTCGATAGCGTTGTCCCGGTGTGGGAAGAGGCAGGTAGAAGAAGACGAGGAAGAGAAGACACAGGCGAATTAAGACCATGGTTTGTCACCTCAGTGGCACGCCTCAGCCCTGCTTTCACTTTCTAGTTCTTCTCACTCTGCTTTCTCACATTTATTTCTTAATGCCAAACACGCATATCTACATCTAAAAGCAGTGATTAAATAAATGAAAGCCTCCTCTAACTACAAACTGTTGCCTACATGGACTAAGAGATAGGAAACCAAAGTAATGTGATAGTCATTTGCCCCCTGTTCAGTCGCCCTCCCACTTCCATAAACTATAGATAGTTCAGCTGGCTCGGGTTCCAGGCTCCAGACTGGCTCACTAGATGACAGACTGGCTCATGATGATCTGCTCACCCAGGCCCAGATAAGCTGATTTGGCAAATGGTCTTGCATAAAATATAAAAGCCGATTCTTTAAATAAAATCTGATTATTTATATAGATGACTAGTTCTCTGCAAAATGATATTCTTACGTATATCAGCTAGACAAGCCTAGCTGTAATTGTGGCTTTTTTGTGTTTTTAAAGGTGATTATTTTTTTCAACAAATGCTATAACTGTACACTTAATATAACTATTTGTCAAAGAGAAAAATATCAAAAGATTTGACAATCTACTGTATTTACTATTTAACTTAATGCTGCCAACAACTGTTTACAGTATTTATAGGGTTTTCCAAATTTCATGGTATAAAACACATTTTATATTGCCGTCATATGATAGACCTACCCAAAGAAGTTCTGTATAATGGAAAAAAAAACTTTCTTGTGTCAAAACATGTAAAGAAAGGGGGTTTCTTCACTTGGGGAAATCACAACTGCAGAGCTTTTTAGGTATTTGCTAGCTTTGCACATCTAGATACTTAAGGCTGATTTATACTTCAACACCAGGACCTCTGTGTAGGTGCAGCAGTGAACAAAAAGACGTCCCCGCCCCCTCAGCAGACACTCCGCTGCACCTCTCCCAAATTGTAACTGACTGCAGACAGTGCTGCAGACAGGAGGCCGGCTTGATTTTATTTATGACCGAAATTGAGGAAAACAACTCGTGAAGTTTGACCAGCTAAAAGAGCGAGGTTAAGGAATAATTAAAATTATTCCTAAATATTTAATATTATAAATATAATATAATATTTAAATATTTTAATGTAAGTTCTGCAAAATAGAAGAATAAAACACCATTGATGTGAAAACTCAGGTGTATTTTAAACGAACCAAACTAAAGTACTAAGCTGGTTTCTATTGACAGTCTAGTTAAGCACCCTGCTCTTACAGCAACACCAATATGATTTTGCTTTATTAGATTCTCATGGAAGCTGTTGTTACTAAACAGCAAACGGTGAAGAGGCTATATGGATATTTTTACAGAGCTGACACTTCAAGCCATTATTACTATTACCATGCAGGGAGGCAGAGGGGGAAGGGGGAGTTGTGCCTTTCTTTAGCTCGTAGCCTGGTTGAAATGACACGTCATGACTGTGTGAAAATTCTCAGCTGCTGCTAACAATGTGCCTGTGTGTGGGCATGTGTGTCTCAATATCACTAAGATCTGAATGGAACACGTTTACTGCATTATTTTACCGCCTGAATTTATTATATAAGTAATTTCTTGGTTGTTTTTCCAATATCCATCTTTACATCCATAATCTTTTTAACTCTGTCGATAATAACATGAATAATAATAATAATAGTTGGGGAAAAAAAGGGGGAGCGGCCGCGGTGGGTGAGGAAGAGTTTGTTTTTTTGTTGTTTTTTTTTTTTTGTCAAAGACCAAGGGCCACGTATGCTGAAACATGAATAGAGCTGACAGAAATTAACATGAACATTTTCTGCAGGAATGTCTAACAAAAAGGTAATATCAAGCTCCCAAAGGTTTGCTTTTTTATAAAAGACAAACCATAAAACAAACCCAAGGATTATCTCTAATGCTCATGATTAGCTGTGTGCTTGAAGTTTCAATATCTATTGAAAAGGTTTAGATTCAGTCTGAATTCCTTACTTTTGATCAAAGTAAACTGACTCTCACAAAAGATGCCTGAAGTTAGAGACCTTGTTTCATGTACAGCTTCATTTTTCACCCTTTATGAAATAAATAAGAAAATAGATGATGGACAGACAGACAGACAGACAGACAGACAGACAGACAGACAGACAGACAGACAGACAGACAGACAGACAGACAGACAGACAGTACATTGTACCACAGTACTACTGTGGGCAGTACAATGGAATTTGCTTTCAGAAAAAATGGTACTGTACATGTTATTTTTTTCCAATAAGTTTTAAGTGTGTTTTTTATTTATTTTTCAAACACATTTTGATGGTTAGATGATGATGACATTTAGTCCCACAGTGATAATGCTTTTGGTCATAGATTTTGTTCCAATCTACCTGTGGTGGTGATATTTTTAATATAATGTCACAACAATTATATCTAAGCCAAAATGAGGAAGTCTTTATATTGGATTGGAGATTATAAATATAGCTAGATGGCACTAACAGGCTGTAACATTTGCCGCAGTATTAACCCTGGGTTCACCAGAACTTACTTGTTGCTAGGAAGAGTAAGTGGGCAAGCACATGGCTGACAGTCCTGAGGTGTCCCATGGGTGGCATTGCCATAGTAACCAGGTAGACAAGTATCGCACTGATGGCCAGTGGTGTGGTGGATGCAGTCCTAGAGAAGAGAAACATTACACTTTAAAAAGAAACATTTGGACAAATTTTGTCCAAAAAACTTTGTTCTGATGCCGAGACAAGGGTTTATCATCTTTGCATTTTTAAGAGTGTAAACCTTTATGTTAAGTTTTTTAACATTTAGAAATTATTTAAATATTCAAAAAAATCCATTTTGCCTTACTGCATAGTTTGCAGACAACATAGTGTACTTAATATAGAGGAGTAAATACTGACTGCCAAGATGCAGATCATGTTGTAATACAAGCTAATGCAAAACATTGAAGAAAAAACAAATTTATCAGCAACAAACTGTATCAGGAGGTGGATTTCCCTTACTAATGAGAGCTTAAAAAAAGAAAACGGTTAAGAAGAAGCAAAAAGAATAAAAGGATGTTTTACAATAATGACGGATACTTAGATGTCTGTTAAATAGTTATGCATTTCATAATAATATGGCAAAAGGACATATACTTCTTCTTTTCTCTATTTTACTTTTCTTTCCAAATTATTCCCTTTGCCTTCAGACCTGTTGAGCGAATACTTTGTAAATCTACTTTTCAGTGGTATTTCAAGCTCCAAGGTAATTTTTTTTTTAAACTATGCATTGAATGTTTTTTCTCAGGTTATGTCACACTCAACAGAAAGAATCTTTGAACAGAAATATTTAGGCGCCGCCACAACTTAAATGTTGGAAAAGCTTGGACTGACTGGGTCATACTAAGTACGAACATCTTTTAATCTAAATGTATCTTTTGTAGCACTCTGTGTTTATAGTTTTTGTCCTGCTGAAATGTGAACCTCCAGCCACTTTAAAGTCTTTAAAGTACTTAACCAGCTCTAATGAATGTCCTGCTCTATTAAAGAACATTCTCTCTGAGGCAGGGTGCTGCCACACCTTTATTTCATTCTGGGGCAGTTTGTTCAGAGATCCGGAAGCAAATGAGGTTTTACATACAGACCAAAAAATTCAATCTTGGTCTCATCTGACCAGATCACCTCAATTTCACAGATTTGTATTCTCCGCATTAGAAACTTGATTGACTGTATTCATAGTAATATTCCAACTTCAGCTATGAGTTTTAGGTCCAATAAAGGACTTTTTTCAAAAATACCGGGTCAGTCTAGGTTCCTACCCCAACCTACAGTCATGGGTTTTGTGTCATGACTGAAAGAGTAGGATCCCGGGTAGAAGTGGCAAAAAGTTGCTTCTTTGGTAGGTGGGCTGGGTGCTCCTTTAAAGACATTGTGAGGAGTTCAGCTACTGAGAGAGGCCTGCAGAAGACCTGCTCTCAGCTGACATGGTATCACCTTAAAATTAGCAAAAGACAACAGGTCTGAATAGAAAGAATTTATTTTTCTAGACAAATTTTTATTGTTTCCCCAGTTTCAAAAACAATTTCTACGCTGCTGTTTTAGTAAATCATGATATCCATAGAAATGATTTTGACCACATGCAATATTAAAGGTTAAAAAAAATCATGCAGGAAACCAACCTGACACAAGATCTAGTTTTTACTATATTATTATTATTGGACTTGAAATATCTTTTTCATTCAAAGGAATAGATACTGTTATTTGTGAATATATCACAAGTTTAAATTTGCTCATTTAAAAGCAGTGACATGCACAGTATTACTATAAGTAATTTGGACAAAACATTTGGTAATAAATAAAAGCAGGCTGCACAACTACTTCCAAAACATCACTGAAGAAATCTTCCACCTTGTTTGGACCATATTGCCTTGAGGCAGTTCCTCGACCAATAGATAAATCATTGAAAAGCATACTGTTTCAAAGAGAAAACATAAAAAAAATGTTTTACAGTAGCTTCATAGATTTTTCACTTCCTTATATTTGACCAGTTTCCTCAAATATAAAATATTTTTCATTGCAGAAATCAGCTTTGCAGCTTCAACAACTCTCAGTTTCTGTATTTGGGAAAATGATAGTATGTCAACATCCTCCAAATCATCCGTTTCTCATAACAAATGACCTTACACTGCTGAAACCCATCCTGACACATGCACACTGTGTTAACCTATATGTCTATAGCGTCAGTCAGTCATTCAGCTGTAGCTACAAATCACTGGTGTCAGTGAAGGAGTGTTTGGATGCATCTGTCTGCCTGTCTGTCACTGTGTATACAGGTGGGACATGAGCGCGTGTGATTGTAAGTGAGGGGATGTCAGACGGTGTGTGTATGTGTGTTTTGGTGTATCTAAGAGATAGCCTCCCTGACAATCTTTCTCTGAATGCACGTCTCCCTCTGACACATCCTCATCTATAATGAACCATAATACGGTAATACAAACCCACAGGTGTGCATGTGTGCGTTCTCCATGTGTACTCGCCTCTTTGGGTTTTCGTGTGTGTGTATTTAGTGCAATGTCAACTGACGGAATTAGCCTAAGGCTGTGGGAAGAACGGGGAGTGAGTGTGTGGAAATCCACATCAGAGGTATATATGTGTCTGTTATACATATATTATGTATGAATGTGTGTAAACAGCAGGAAAGTGCATCCCCCCGCAGTTCCCCTGATGACAACTAGATGGCAGATCCAAATGGGTTTCACTAGATCTTTTCTGGAGATTTGTACCTTTTGTTTCAAAGGTTGTACTGCACATCTAGAATAAAGTATTAGCTGACTATATTTGAAAGGCCTGCAACTTTATGAATGTTTTGGATGAAACAGTTACCAATTTAAACTTTTTTTTCCACCTTTTCTCAAAGCAACAAATGCAAACTGCAATGAATTTTCATGGACATCAAATGCAACAGACCAATACAATTTCCAGAAGTAAAATTATACAATTATATAATTTTGGTATTAGATTTTCAGTTTCGTAAACAGAAATCTGAGAATTGTGGTACGTAGTGGGTTATAGTGCCCTTTACTCTGATCTCCTTATTAATAAATTGCCTCTGGAAGTCACCTAATTCATAAATACAGTGCAGTACACTGGATTGCTGTTGAGTATAAATCCATTTCTCAGAGAATCAGCCAAGAGGTTCATATTCACCCTGTAGGAGAAACAGATATCCGTAACGCAGGCGGAAGAATCGGTTGCGAGGGCAGCTACCTCTTGTGCACTCAACAAATGTGGCCTTTATTGAAGTGTGGCAAGAAGCAAACAGTAGGAGGTTCTCTGGAATGTCAGCCAAAAGACATTTAGGCATAAAGCAAACATTTGGAAAGAGGAGCTCTGGTCATGTCAGACAAAAATAGATATTTTTTTTGGCTACATGCAAAGTCCAATTTATAGTGGAAACAAAGACAATACCTCATTAAAATATTATTACCCGACAGAGCAAACTAGTAATGCATGCATCATGCATGATTCTCGGAAGAAAAAGAAATTGAAAAGAGCCAAATGGATATTAAATCCATAATAAACATAACTATATTATTAAGGAATTCTTCATGGCCCACAGACTGGACCTTCTTTGTATGGCTGGAGCATGGATCTCTGTGAGTGAGTCCTAAGATGTTGCCTCACATTAACACGTTTACTCGCAATAATCTAAGGTCCAAACTAGAGGAGGTTTAGCTACAATTTAAAACCTAATTAAGAGTGTGAGCAGCTCTCCTTAGTCTAACTTTATACTGATTGTATTTGAGTTGGGTTGCTTGCCTTTAGGATCTATCAGCCACAAAAGAACAACAAAGACTTTCTCAATGAGTTTTCTGACTTCTTGGGGGAAATTATGCAGAATATGAGTAAGCTTTACCTGTTGGAGATTTAATGCGTGTGTTGCCTTGAGAAAACTACTAAAGGATTTACAACATTTTTTGAATGTTTTTGATCACACTCAGTAAGTGAATGGCCCAACCAATGACCATGTGTCCACTTTTGGTGCATCTATTCATTAATTGGAAATCTGTAATGAACTATTTTCAGATCAAATGCCTGTTTTATTTGATTTTATTCCTCTAACCGAACTGATAAAATCCTGCCCATTACTTTTAGTCCACCACTGATGAGCTTTTGTTCCATTTTAATTCCAAGTGCAATGCTATTTTAAATTTGGTGACCTTGAATAGAATAAAAAAAAAAAAAAAAAAAAAAAAGAACTGAAATGGAAAAATAATAGATTACAAGTACATTTTGAAATACTGAGAGAAATCTGGTTCTGTTATCATTTTGCTGTGAAACATGCATTCAATACTGAATAAAATATTACTAATAATTATGATAATCTCTAAGCAAAATATTACTTTAAGGTTATTGCTTCAAAGTCTCACAATCCCAGTTATTATTTAAACTACAAAGAATAACATTTAATACTTACAGCCTGCCCCTCTGGATGCTTCCAGAGAACAATGTGGTAGCTTTATTTACTTTTCCTGGGACAAGGTTGTGCACATCACAACTATCATTTCTCTTCCCTGCTTTTGGATTTAAAGGAGAAGTTCGGTTTTTTACACTTTAAGCCCATTTTCTGTAGTGTCCAGGATGAAATCGAATGAAGGACACCAAAATTTTGACAATTGCTCCTGTCTCTGCTTTTTGGCTCATTTAGAATCCACCCCTGGCTGCTTTAGAATGGCTAGCATAGAGCATGTCCGATAATGTCCTTAAAACAACCTTAAACGTTCTTTTTTTAAAATATGCTACTCACCGTGTCGTCAGCGCTGTTCAATGACGTTCCAAAAAAAGTTTCGTGAAGAAAAAACGTTCCTGTAGTGTTTTATTTAGCATTTTGTAAATCCCATTGAGTTCTGTAGGAATAGTCAATATTCCGCTGCCACCGGAAACGGAAATGGGGCCTGTTTACACAGTTGTAGTCTTTTCGCTTCACTCTGCGTACTCCGACGTCGAGGTGCTAACGTCTCTGTTAAACACTTTAAAAAACTCTGAAAATGGAATACGAAAGGTGGATTCTTGATTCTCGACGTCGGAGTACACAGAGTGAAGCGAAAAGACTACAACTGTGTAAACAGGCCCCATTTCCGTTTCCGGTGGCAGCGGAATATTGACCATTCCTACAGAACTCAATGGGATTTACAAAATGCTAAATAAAACACTACAGGAACGTTTTTTCTTCACGAAACTTTTTTTGGAACGTCATTGAACAGCGCTGACGACACGGTGAGTAGCATATTTTAAAAAAAGAACGTTTAAGGTTGTTTTAAGGACATTATCGGACATGCTCTATGCTAGCCATTCTAAAGCAGCCAGGGGTTGATTCTAAATGAGCCAAAAAGCAGAGACAGGGCCAATTGTCAAAATTTTGGTGTCCTTCATTCGATTTCATCCTGGACACTACAGAAAATGGGCTTAAAGTGTAAAAAACCGAACTTCTCCTTTAACTGCAGCTGGGCTACGAAATCCTTGTCTCCATACTGTAGCAATGAGCTGGTATAACTGACTCAGTTCTACAGTGGTTTAGGTCCTTCCTAACCAATACGAGCTTCTGAGTCATGATGAACAATTACCTCTGCTTCAGCTGCCCTCCCTTGGGAGGTCCCCCAGGAGTCAATTCTTGATCCTTTGATATTTACTTTCTATTTACTTTCACTTAGAGCTATTTTTAGGAAAAGCCATTTTATTAGTATTGTGATTGCTGCCAGGTTTGTTTTTCTCTAAAGAATAATGGGTCAGTTCAACCTCTATTTCATTGTCTAGATTAAATCAGGACACAGATGACTCTGAATCCTTAGGTTAAATGAAAAAAAACAAAAAAGACTACGATTATGCAGTTTAATGATGTTAAAGTCCAAACAATATTTCTTCTCATGATCTTTACTCTTTGGACCTATATAAAAAAATACAACATCTCAATTTTGATGCACATGTAAATGCTGTGATTAAATCCTCCTTTTCTCAGTTGAGTTGGCTGTCAAAGATTAAGCCCTGCCAGACTAGACGCCATCTTGAAATCGTTATCCATGCTTTTATCACATCCACTGTGATTCTGTTTTGATTGGTGTCAGCCAGGTCACTCTTTTACGAGTAAAGCTGGTGCAGAATGCTGCAGCACAATTTCTAACCGGTAAACACCAGTTTTAGCATCCCCGTACTAGGATGCTAAAGTTAGGTTTCCGTTTTACTTTTTGCTTTGCATTAGTAAATCTTAGATGCTGTACTGTCATTCAAGCTCTGACCCTCTAATTATCATATTTCATATGATTCCTTTAGAAAAACCCAAGAAAATGAATCTTCTGCTTTTCTGTAGCTTTCTGTAAAATTTTCGAAATATTAACAAATTTGATTTTCTTTAAATAATCTTACCAGGCAATTCCCTGTGAACTCATGGCAATGCAAACTGTGTCCGTGACACTGGCAAGGTTCACACACACCATTATACAGTTTACCATGGACCCTCCGAAAACCAGGGAGACAGGTCTGAAACACACATTTCAAAGGTGAATTTGCACTTTCCATTGGAGTTAAGCTGTTTTTGCTATTTATTTTGTGTACACTTACCTCACAAGATAATCCTCCATATCCAGGAGGGCAGTCACACATTTCTACAGCTGATGCTATCTTTCCACTGGCAGAAGAATTTGCCACCTGCATTGAGAATGAGTTAAGCCTGTGTAGAATTAAAAGAGATGAAATAATTAAGCATGTACTTTTTGCCCAATCGGCATTCAATCTATGCATATCAAACCCTGCAATAAATCCAAAGCCAGGTTACAATTAAAAGGTTTAATACCCCAAGTTCTATTCACTAACAAAAACTAGCCCACTAGCAATGAGTTTCATTCATTAAGACAAATTAATCAAGCAAACAATAGTTTTTTTGGATATAAACTTGAAGAATAGTTAGTGAAATCAATATTATGTTTGCATATTAGTTTCATCCTGCATGGAGAGATGATGAAATCCAATGCAGAATTAAGTTATTGCACACTGCAGAATTAATGCAATGTTTTTGTCAATATGCTTTCATCAACAATGCTCAAAACAATGTGACATTGGAGACTGATTTTTATAATTAAAAACAATTTTCTAAAAATAACAAATAATTATACATTTTACTGCCAGTTTAGAGCAACACTGAGTAATATGAGAGTTCTTTCCCCCTACAGGACCTTTTGAAAATACCACCAACGATTTTACTCTCTAAACTAACTGTAACTGAAAGACCCATATCATATAAACTAGTATTAAGTTGCTTTTATGGTGAAAATGTTCACCTTTATATCAGTGAAATGTGTCCTCCTCTCAAACAAACTGTAGATAAACAGCATAGGATTATTCAGCCTCTCCATGTTTTATAAATGCAGGCTAAAAAGTAATCGCTCTTAGGTACAGTAACACTGACAAATATGGCATCTCAAAAGGTCAAATAGCAACATTGCCAGGCCTGTATCAGTCCTTGTTTTTGCTTGAGGTCTCCTCACAGAGTAAATGTTTTGCCCAAATTCACTCTTCTGTGAGCTCTATCCTGATCTGATTCTCATTTTTTCTTCCTTTCTGCTACTAACTGTTTTCATTGCCCTTTTTTCTGACACTATCATAAACCACTAAAATAAAAAAAAGCTCTTCTCTAATAATCTGTGGATAGCACAGCACGAGGCATGTGGCTATTGATGTAAGAAGCATTATATTAGGCTGTAGTGAAGCTGTTCATCATACTGCAAGAATGAGAACAGACTTCTACTGTGCCACCGACCCAGTGGTAGTTTTGCCACTGCCACTGGGTCGGTGGTACAGAAAATTGATAATGTGGCTTTCTGATCAGAGCTGGTAGGGACAGATGACAGACCACTGAATTGTCTCTTAAAAAACTAATACCCCTTTCCACTGTCCAAAAAACACCTTTAAACCCGGAAACAATTGGAGTTTTGTTGGCAGAAAAAACCAGCAACCAAGTTTAAAATTACCTTCAAACGGCTCGGCCCTGGTAGCCATAAAGTGGGAATATCAGACTAGGATCGACCCGCTAATTTACATCATACCATTGACGTACGTCAAACATTATGCCCGTCTGATTTAAAATGCCTAAACAACTCTGCTTGCTGTCGATAAACATGCGGCGACACTAATGAGAGAGATTCAGAGGGACAAAAGAATGAGACAATAAAGAACACCTAATATACCATGGCTTCCTTCAATGCTGCTCTCCATGGTTTACATTCCTGATTTCTGTTACACTGGTGACATCATCAACATTAACCCAGCATGATGACGGGTCAGACCCAGCTTTTTTTGGAGCCAAACGAAGATCGTTACCGGGTCGACCCATGTTTGAAAAACTTGTGTAACCCGCTAATTTCAGTGGGAAAGAGGCTTTAGATTACCATCATAGAGACTCAGAAAAATATGTGTTAAGGCAAAATTGTTACTTAGTGCTGCTTCAAAATGGCGAGATAGCTCTTTTTTGATTAATGGTGATGGATTTTTCTAAAACATCCTAGTTTGCATTTTCTTGTGAAAAACAAAGAGCACACATACTATCACCATGTTCTTCCCATTATCATTACTAAACATCCAACAAAGTATCCTTCAAACCTGTAGACGGCACTCATTTCCGTGCTGTATGAGGCCCGCACCATTAAACTCGTTACATTAGCCAGCACTAGAAGGAAATCTCTCCTACTGATCGGCTGCTCAATCTCCGAGACAAGGAAGTTCTCAGGAAGGAGAACAATGTGTTTGGTACTTGTCGAGGATGGATATACTGGTTGGCCAAACCTTTTGTCTATAAGCTTGATCCCACCTCCCTGTTAAAGAAAAGACACAACAGTTACATATATATATTTTTTTCTCTTTTTCTGGTTCAGCTCAATGAAAGTGAAAACTGATCCTTTTTCTATATGTTTACTCTATAATGAGTCTGTCTAATAGAACTAGTCCAAACTCCCCAGTTCGAATGATGTGCCATTAGGTAATGAGGTGCAGTAGCCATATTGACATTTAAATGAACTAAATGCACAGTGAACTGAGCCAAGATCTTGTATCTGACCATCCTTGGTTGCCCAGAGATCAATGACATGTAATAACTCACTGACAACCTCCAATAGGGGAGGAGGGCGCAATTACAAAAATAAAGCAACTAATTAAAAAAAGCAGTATTAGCTTACGAGAACAGAAAAGTAGCTGTAGGACTATAAGACGCAAAGTTAAGAAATAATGGAAAAAACATTTTATAAAAAAAACTTGAATGCATATATGCAGAATATAATTAGAAATGTATTTGATTATATATTATTTATTTGCCTTTGGTGTACTCTGTTCTCAAAGACATCAATGTTTGATTATTTGATACATAAAGTAGCCTTTTAATATCAATTCACTCACTAAAGCAAATCTCTGATTTCCAACGCTGCACTTAGAAAGTTATCTAGAGAAGAAGAAACTTAAGTGCAAATGTAAAAACATTGGGAATTTATTTTGCAATTGGATGCCTATACATCAAAACAGAAAAAAGGTTCTTGGAGCTTATATTAAATGAAGAGGCAAGTGACAATGAATTTAACTTAAAATATATAGAAAAAATAATTATAAAATTAACTTTTGTATCAAGCGAATAAATGCGAAAATAAACAATCAAAGTCTGTTTTTTTCAGAGCAGGGAGTAGCATTGGGAATAATATTAGCATCATAGGTGGTTGTGCAAATAAGAGGAAACTCAACTGATGTGGCATCAGTTACAAAAATTGTCACTTGTATTTTTTTATTTTTTTCCTAACTAAATCAATATTTATCCCAATTTCGTAAAATCTTGTATTTTAACTTATATGTAAAGATTCAGTCTGGAGAAGATTTATGCAAATTTGGAATATTGATAGCTCATTTAAAATCAATGTCATAATTTCTATCAGATGCAGAGAAAACAGTGGGGTTAAAAAAAAAGAAAGAAAGACAAACATGAGATGAAGGCTAAAAGCGAGATGGTGAAGAGGGGGGAAAGTTGGCTGACAGTGTGTAGGTGGCTCATTATTGTCATCATATGAAGAGGCTTTTTGTTGACAACAAGACCGATACTTGTCCTCTTCTCCGCCTCCTTCCATTCCATCCAAACTGACATGCCTTTAAACAACACAAGCTCACCGATTTGTAGCTCCTTTTCCTTTAGTTTTCATTTTGGCATTTCACAACATATTTCATCCTTTGATATTTTATCTTTTTTTTAATCACTTGTTTCAGTTTGCAACACTTTGCTTACGAATTTGTTGATATCCTTTTAGTTCCTGTTTTGCATTTTGTACAAACTTGTGCATCACAAAGGCTTCCTGTTTTCTGGTCAATTATATCTCCTTTTAAATTCTGGTAAAAAAAACTGTTTTATACACACTACTAGGTAAGTATAAATTCAGATTCTGAACTTTCAGCTTTAATATAAAACCTTTTCTTTTTCCTTTGGCAAAACATAGTGGTGCATATACTCACAATCACCACAGACCTCTTCAATCAAAACCCGCGATGGAGGGCTAATGGTTTAGGTTATTTTGATGGATGACATTTAGATACCATTTGTCCACCAATGAACCATGGATTCCTTTATGACATCTTATTTAAGAGTTTTAAATGTAGTGGCACTTCTTTGACCACAACAAACCTTGAGATTCAATAAATTATGACTGAAAGATTAAAGTCTTGTAAGGTTGAAATCATCCAGTCAAAATCCAAGCCACATTTTGAGCTGATCATCTGAACCTCATAGTGACCGTTGTACCTTTTACACTTATTTTGGTATTCAGGATTATATCTGTATCATAGTGACATGGCTGAATACTCAATTTTTTATTTAATGTTTTATTGCTTTTACCTAATTTGAAAACCTTATGACCCAATCTGTTATCATCATATGCTACTATATAATCCCAAGGAAATGCTACCAGGTTTGCTTATTTGTCTTGTTTATGCTTTTAATGCCCCTTTGTTTTGGTAGATGCCACAGTTTGTAACATACTGACAAAGTTGTTTAATGAGGACGATATTAACAGTAAACTAATAGTGTTGCTGCTTTGCTCGTTGCTGCTGTGCATCATACTGCAACCTGCTCATTATAAAAGAGGAGGTGGAAAAGGCTCCATCTGCATTTTTTATTGCTCAGTTCAGCAATTCTCCATATGATGTGGCTGTTGTGTCTATGTGCGTGTCTGTTTTTACCACCTTTTCTTGTTGCATTATTTAACGTTCACTACAAATAAACATGCATAACCATTTATTGTGCAAAAACAAAGCCAGGTAATCACCAGGCCTTGGTGACACTTGTTGTCAGTGCCTTTTCTTTTTTTCTTAAGTTTGGGTGTAGGAAGTAGTTATGCATGATCACAGTACACCCAACTGTGGAAGTTGTGTTTTTACCCTTGTAGGTACAATTTCTAATGGTCATTGAAGCCTTTATGGGTTTAAAAAATAGAAATAAATACTTGGATTAACTTTTTGCTGTTTTTCTTTTTTTTTTTTTTATAATGTCCATCTTACGGTAAGGGAGTTATGGCTGCCGTTACCCCAGGAACCACTTAACATTTCCTTCCCCTTTTTTTTCCTAACGCAATGTTTGGCATTTTTTAACTTAAAGACACAAACTTCTATTAAATTAATCATTTTTTCATAGGCTTTAACTGTAACCTCTAATCACTTATATCAGAATCACTACAGATAAAACAATAGACTTCGATTTTGCTTCTGATTTGAATAGCTAAAGATAAATACATGCAATGAATTTTTAAAATTACATTTTTGCATTTAGGTTTTAAAAACAGGAAAATAACATAGTTTGTTTTTGTCATCACATTTTGAGACATAAAAACTATGGAATGAACCACATAAAAATTGGAAAACATTCCAGTTCACTGTTAACCTGCTCTTTACTTGGTGTTAGTGTGTGTAAATGCTTCACTTTTACTTGTTTTAATACTTACCTCTATGATAAGGTCAGGCTCTGAGGTGACTCTGATACTCCCTTGCTCTTGTTCATGTGTTGTATAAGACACAGTGAATACAACATCTCCTCCATAGGCTGAAATCTAAAGACAGAAGAAATAAAACAAAACACAAATAGGTTAGAGTTATTGTAATTTTATTCATAGAGGTTGGGTTGTGCTTTTTTCGTTTGGTTGCGTTTCATTCTTTTTCCTTCTTATTTTCATCCCATAGACAAGGGGTAACCAATTAAAAATCAGCGGGGTCCAAATAAAGAAAATCAAAAACCAGTTAAGGTCAGGAGACATTTTTAATTGTAATCTGTTCCTTTAAAAGGAATTTAACAGTGAAATAAAATGAGAATTTTATGCATTCATTTTTTACATTGAATAAAAATAAATAAATAAAACAAAACATTTTTTATATTTTAAAATCTATATACCAATCTTTCAGTTTGGTATATAGACAATTTGCTGATTCACATGTTTTATAAAACACCTGAACTGAACGTTTTTTTCTGTCTTAATGAGAGCAGTGGGCTTCAGGCTGCCCTGCAAGGCTTTAAACCTGGGTTTGAATAGTGACAAAGCCATTATCAAGCATATATCAAGGTGCTCATTCATGAGTCTGGATCAATATTTATTTTTGATTATGTTCATGGTAGAGAATCCTGCTTCACAGCAGCAGGTTGAGCCAAACATCCTCTAAATGTGCAGGCTCTGCTCCGGTCCAGGTAGGTCTATTGCAACCATACAAAACAGGAAAAAGAACGGCGAGAAGATCTGGTTTATCAAATTTATAATATAGTAAAAACAGATCAGTAACTACAAATTACAGCATAATTCTTATATACATTTCAAAATTCAATTCAAAATCTTAAAAGATGGTACTTCAACAGACCAGGAAGCAGATTTTTCATCGACATCAGAAACTGAAAATATGTTGAATTTTTTAATATGTCATATTAAATTAAGCGTTAATTTCTGCAGGTTTTGCTCCTGAATTTAATAATATAGCGCATGCTCTCCTCAAGCTCCAAGGATAAGTCGGAGAGCAGCAATAAGGGAGGAACAGCGGAGGCAGAAGGCTTTGCTTTGCGCAGGAGGTCACGGGGGTGCGCAGGAGGTCACGGGGGTGAGCGGTGACTGAGGATGTGGGATTTTGGAGAAACAGGAGGAGCGGCGTAAATGACGTTCAGACACTGTCGTCAGACAACATGTGGTTATTTATAAATGTTTAAAATCAGGTTGGGTCCGGATTAGCCAGCGGGTGGGTGCGGATGTGGACTGCGGTCCACTAATCCGTGACCTCTGCCATAGACGATACACCTAGCCTTAAATTGTGTTTAGCTTTGGACAGAGTCTACTGAATAAACCTTTACCTCTATTAGCTTATTGCTTTTTTCCTCCAGTACTCTTGGCCCAGTGATATTATTATGAAGCTAAGGCGGAAATTCAACTGAAGAAACTCTGATTACTTTCATTCAATCTGAGGCTGATCCGCCTCCGATGCAGCCAATCCACTTCAAGCTACATCTCCTCGATGCCCAATTATCTTCCAGCACTCTCCTTAAAAGCCACTCCAAATCATCTCTCGACCTGCTCTTCAACAAGCGCAAGATCCGTCGCTATGTCGGACTTTGATTTAGACAACCCACCTCCATCCCCTTCTCCACCATTGTAGCAAGCTCATCCGACTCCTCCTCGATGCTCCTTCAACCTCACCTCCAGTGCGTAGTCCCTCCAGACTTTCACAGAGTTCCATGTCACTTTAAACGGTCCGGCAGAAGACCGCCATGTTGAGCCTGGTTCTGCCAGAGATTTTTTCCCAAAGGGGATTTTTTTCTCTCCACAGTCGCTTCATGCTTGCTCTTCAAGGACAGTTTATGCAACTTCGTTCATTCAGTGTCATCTAACTCAAGCATCACCTCGTATACCAGCCTCTATGGATTAATCAAACTTCATCCATCTAAACTCCACCACCAGTTTCAGGCCCGGGGGAAATATCCATACTCTCATACATCAGTTTATCTGCATTAAAGTATAAAACAGCGTTTATGTTTCCTGCCGAGGCCTAAGTGCCAAAGTTCAAACTATTGTATCAATAAACTCTTCTAATTGCATCTTCTCTCTCTGTGAGTTTTTCAGATTGAATTTCCTTTATATCCAGCAGAGCCCTTTTTGTTGGGCTGAGCTACCAATTATGCCATTGCTGTCATCAGCTTCATTTAAATACTGTTGATCTTTTTCCAATAAAAAATACTTCCAGTTTAGTGGTTCTATGCTTATTAGTTCTGTTTTCCATTTTTCTGGCAACCAAGCTTTATTTGCCCTAAACAGTTTATTTTCTTTCAAAAAGAATGTTTACCTAGATCAGTCCTTTTTTTTAAATCATGCTTAAAGACTTAGTAACGCTTTTCACTGGCTTTTTCCAGCAATTTACCATTTACTCACTTTGTTAACTTTTCCCATGAAAAGTAATTCCAGCTACATTTCCTAAGTATTTTACTTTATTTCTTTCTTAAACAAATCCACTGGAATCCTGCTAAAATTATTAATGTGTTTTTTTTTTTTTTTAATATATTTTCTTTTGATGACTTAGTTCCACTTTGCTTTACCGTGCTTCCTAATGTACAGAATCACAGGAAGTGTGCCATCCGTTTTTCTTTTCCACAAAGTGGAGAAAGTCATTGATGGGGTCATTGTTTTCATTAGCTTTCTGCAATCGTTGTTTCAAAGAGCTATAACTTTCTTTTCTTTTTTTTTTTCTTTCCTTATCCCTAATGTCCTCTGAACCCCAGCTGGTCACAGTAGAGAGCCATCAGAGTCAGGAATGAAACAGAAAGGTTACTTCTCATCAAAAGTGGGTGGTTCCTCTCCATCTTTCCCCACAGGCTTGCTCAGGATGAGGGAGTGCTACAAAGTCATCGACTCTGACCGGTCAGTGGAAGATTTCCAAAACAGTCAGTCATTTGAATTAGAATCTGTTGCGTTATAATTTAAGTTAAAATGTTCCCATTTGATTGGAGCAGAGCATATGATTTGACAACACTAAGTTGGATTGTCTTGTAAAGAGCCTCAGGGTGTCATTTTCACACATAACTTTTTAGACCAGATATATTCTACTGACTTATTCTATTGACTTAAAATCCTATGAAACAATGTTAATGATAAAAAGTAGTGATATTAGCTTAGTTTTTTTCAGTTTTACAAAAAATAAATGTATGCCATTTCCCTCATAAAAAATCAACTTTAAAAAAAATAAATAAATGTGATTATGCTCAATATTAAACCAACATATTTTTGTCATCATGCCGATATACACCAACCAGACCAACACTAAAGTTGACATCATTGTAAGTTTCTAAAACAAAAAAAAAATACAATGCCATAAACTTGGAAAGATACGACATTCAGCACAGTCTTTGTTGTCCAACAGAGTTTCTTTGCACCCTTTCTGTTGACACCACAAAATGAGCTTGAGCTGAGGAAACGCTGCATCGGCATGATCCTGAAATTTATTATTCTGCTCCATCCTGAGCAGTAATGGGTGGGGGAGTGAGATAATAATGCCACTATAAAACAGAGAGAAGGGGACACTGGAAAGGAGGAGAGAAAGATAAAGAAATGGTCCTTGAGAGAGTAAGTGCAAAAGTAAAACGTAGGCATTATGCCTCCATAAACCTCTGATATTCTGCATCATTACGCACCTTTTTAAACTAGATGGAAGGAATCACTCATTTGGCTGCTGACCTGAGCACGCACACAAAAACATGCAAGTTCACACACACAAGAGAGGCCCTGCAGGGGTGCCACAGTGGAGGTTTTTATTCAATAACACTCATTCCTGATCTACCTCAATTTACAGATTTCGACTCCAGAGGACAGTAAGCAGCCCCTACCTATCCAGCTTTTTGTTCTGCTTGCCCACTTTTTTTGCCATTTTCCAAACTCAAGTATGAGAAAAGATTTGATATTGTAACAAGCAACAGAATGGTTACCTAGTATGCATGTGAATTTCCAGTACACAAGTATGCCTGCACACTTCCATATTTTATTATTTTATAACTTTTATCTATTTTACTGGCGGCTTAGTGGTTAGGGCATAGGACTTTGAATCCTGAGGTTGTGAGTTTGATCCCCCACTCCCACGGACTCCCACTGCTCCCCAAGGGGATGGGTTAAATGCAGAGAATTTATTTCTTTGCTCTGTACTTGTGACAGTGGAATAACAATTAAGTTGAATTCTATTCTAACAAACACAAAGTTGTGTGTAAATGTCTTCTGAAAAAAAATATTTTCAAAACCTTTTTACCTGCTCAAAAGAGTGTAGAAAAGGTTTGCCTGCATAACTGATTGGTATATATATATATATATATATATATATATATATATATATATATATATATATATATATATGTACACCCTGGACAGGTCGCCAGTACATAAATATATATATATTTTTTTCCCCATTTTGTCATCACAAAATTAAGTTTTTAACCAGAATTATGGAGCAACTGTTTCAGGAGACATCTCTAAAATTTCAAGTAATCCATTTAAGTGAAAATGTTTGTTTCCTTGACCTAAGCTGTTTCTTTGAACAAATGTTCTCCAGATGGTTCCCAAGCCACTAATGGGTCTTAACTTTCTTTGACCCTTTTTGATATTTCTCAGTAAATAGAAAAATAAAGAAATTCCATGATTTCAGCCTTTGAAATATATTCTGCAGTGAAAGCCTTTTCATAGCAATATGAAAGCCAAACTCAAAACTTAGACTGGAAGAAAAAATACATAAAATGGAAGAAACACAACAAACCAATGAAAAAAAAAAAAAAGCAGGAGAGAATAACTACACTATATTGCCAAAAGTATTTGCTCACCCATCCAAATTATTGGAATCAGGTGTTCCAATCACTTCCATGGCCACAGGTGTATAAATTCAAGCACCTAGGCATGCAGACTGTTTTTACAAACATTTGTGAAAGAATGGGTCGCTCTCAGGAGCTCAGTGAATTCCAGCGTGGAACTGTGATAGGATGCCACCTGTGCAACAAATCCAGTCGTGAAATTTCCTCGCTCCTAAATATTCCACAGTCAACTGTCAG